TGACAAAGATGAGGACAATAGTCCGAATAATGTAAATAGTGTACATAATACCTCATCTTAGAAATATAGACTGATGCAGAATGTCTGTTTTTTTTTTAAATAATATTTGCTATAAATATTTAAATATTTATTTTGAAATTTGCTCTAAAGGCGTTATGGACGTTTGTAATTGTTGTAATGTTTTTTAGCCTGTTACGTAGAAATTGTAGCTCCACACTGAGTGACTTTTTTTCTTTTTATATGCCATGTCCTTTCAAGACTTAGCGGTCATGGCTCTCCACCTCCCTCTATCCCTTGCAGCTCTCAGCAAGCTCCTTCCCTCTGTTTCCTTCCCCAGACCACGTACAGTCACCCACCTGCTTTGGGTCTTCAGGTATGTCACGCGCTGCTTTTCCTTGTCTCTTTCTCCCTCGATTTGACCCGTGAGTATCAGATTCTCCAGGCTCTCCTTCCTCATTATGTGTCCCAGAAACTTCAGCTGCCTCTTTCTGATGTTAAGTATAAGTTTCCTCCTTTTTGGGAACCTCTCTAAGATCACACGCTCGGTCCCTGATATCCTTAGCCTCCTACAGAACCACATCCCCGTCGCCTCGAGTCTCTTCTTCATCTTTGAGGAAAACATTCGAAGAAGAACAGATATCACGTAACTGTTCAGTATTCTTTTCTTTGTTATCAAAGAAATCCTCCTGTCTCGCAATACTCTGCCCAGCTTTTGGAATGTGTCCTTGGCCATCCCAATACGTCTACGGATCTCAGTGTCGCACTTACCGTCCTCTGTTAAAACGCTTCCCAGATATTTAAACTTCCGCGTCTGCTTGATTCTAATGTTCCTGACCAGTAAATTGCATTTCGGGTTCATCCTTTTACTGATGACCATGCATTCTGTCTTTTTGTAGTTTATGCTTAGTCCTTTCTTCTCACTCTCCATTGCTATCTTCTGTAGGAGATTTTTGCAGTTTCTCCTCCGTGTCTGCTATCAGCACTGTGTCGTCTGCGTACCAAGTGAATACTGACTTAGTAGTAGTCGCTCAACTCTACGGAAAAGAGAGCAATTCCATTTGGCCTATGTCATAACACTAATACTTGCCTGTGAAGGTGTTAAAAGAACATTGTCTTGATGTGTGAAAGACAAAGAATACTGGAAAGAAAGAAGTGGCAAATCAATTTGTTATCGCATAGGTAAATATCTAAGTAGGTGTGTGTTGAATTGTCCGGAGGTGGTTGATCCACAATGTCAAAGGTTTAACTGTATCACGTGTCAGTGCAAGACAAAATGGCGGTCCTTGGACAAAGTGATAAAGTGAGAAGGGAAGGTTGCTTGAAAAGTGACAATTGCTTAACAGGCGTGAAAGAAAGGTGTCTGGATTTTCAACAGGGATTGCGTTCTGAATTGGATTGGCTCTGGAATGATTTGAAATTGATCAGTTCATTAACAATCTACTCAACTGTGTCGATCAATTGGTAGCGATATGTAAACAATCATGTGTACACTATCTATCTAATAGATCTATTGTTCACCTAATATTTTTAAATCTATCACATTTTAATAATATCTATCTATCTATCTCAGTCTGTTCATATCTATCTATCTATCTATCTATCTATCTATCTATCTATCTATCTATCTATTGTTGTCTCTATCTATCTATCTATATATCTATCTATCTATCTCAGTCTGTTCATATCTATCTATCTATCTATCTATCTATCTATCTCAGTCTGTTCATATCTATCTATCTATCTCAATCTGTTTGTTCATATCTATCTATCTCAGTCTGTTCATATGTATCTATCTACCTCAGTCTATTCATATCTATCTATCTATCTATCTATCTATCTATCTATCTATCTATCTCATTCTGTATAACTAATGCATTTGATAAATTCGGAAGAAATAATGGATTTTTATTTATTAATCCGGCAGATTTTATGACTTGAAACGTTATTTTTACTGGATAAACATTTTTGATTAGACGCTCCATTTTTTTCCAACATTACATTTATTTATAGATAGATAGATACATAAGTATGAAAAGACGGAGATAGATCTGATAGGTAGATAATATAGATAGACTTGACCAGACTCAGATAGATAGATAGATAGATAGATAGATAGATAGATAATGAACGGATTGAGGTAGTTAAACAGATAGATATTGAACAGACTGAAATAGATAGATAAATAGACAGACAGACAGGCAAATAGATAGATAGATAGATAGATAGATAGATAGATAGATAGATAGATAGATAGATAATGAACAGACTGAGATAGATAGATAGATAGATAGATAGATAGATAGATAGATAGATAGATAGATAGAAAGAAATGAACTGACTGGTAGCTTGGAATAGACTGAGATAGATAGATAGATAGATAGATAGATAGATAGATAGATAGATAGATAGATAGATAGATTGACATGACCAGACTCAGATAGATAGATAGATTGATAGATAATTAGCAGATTGAGGTAGTTAAACAGATGGATATTGAACAGACTGAAATAGATAGATAAATAGACAGACAGGCAAATAGATAGATAGATAGATAGATAGATAGATAGATAGATAGATAGATAGATAGATAGATGTGAACAGACTGACATAGATAATTAGATAGATATATAAGTAGATAGATAGATAGATAATGAACAGACTGAGATAGATAGATAGATAGATAGATAGATAGATAGATAGATAGATAGATAGATAGATAGAAGGAAAGAAAGAAATGAACTGACTGGTAGATTGGAATAGACTGAGATAGATATATAGATAGATAGATAGATAGATAGATAGATAGATAGATAATGAACAGACTGAGATAGATAGATAGATAGATAGATAGATAGATAGATAGATAGATAGATAGAAATGAATTGATTGGTACATTGGAATAGACTGAGATAGATAGATAGATAGATAGATAGATAGATAGATAGATAGATAGATAGATAGATAGATAGATAAAAATGAACTGACTAGTACATTGGAATAGACTGAGATAGATAGATAGATAGATAGATAGATAGATAGATAGATAGATAAAAATGAACTGACTAGTACATTGGAATAGACTGAGATAGATAGATAGATAGATAGATAGATAGATAGATAGATAGATAGATAGATGAACAGATGAGATAGATGAACAGACTGAGATAGATAGATAGATAGATAGATAGATAGATAGATAGATGGATAGATAGATAGATGAAATGAACTGACTGGTAGCTTGGAATAGACTTAGATAGATAGATAGAAATGAATTGATTGGTACATTGGAATAGACTGAGATAGATAGATAGATAGATAGATAGATAGATAGATAGATAGATAGATAGATAGATAGATAGATAGATAGATAAAAATGAACTGACTAGTACATTGGAATAGACTGAGATAGACAGATAGATAGATAGAAATGAATTGATTGGTACATTGGAATAGACTGAGATAGATAGATAGATAGATAGATAGATAGATAGATAGATAGATAGATAAAAATGAACTGACTAGTACATTGGAATAGACTGAGATAGACAGATAGATAGATAGAAATGAATTGATTGGTACATTGGAATAGACTGAGATAGATAGATAGATAGATAGATAGATAGATAGATAGATAGATAGATAGATAGATAAAAATGAACTGACTAGTACATTGGAATAGACTGAGATAGATAGATAGATAGATAGATAGATAGATAGATAGATAATGAACAGACTGAGATAGATAGATAGATAGATAGATAGATAGATAGATAGATAGATAGATAGATAGATAGATAGATAGATAGATACAAATGAACTGACTGGTAGCTTGGAATAGACTTAGATAGATAGATAGAAATGAATTGATTGGTACATTGGAATAGACTGAGATAGATAGATAGATAGATAGATAGATAGATAGATAGATAGATAAAAATGAACTGACTAGTACATTGGAATAGACTGAGATAGACAGATAGATAGATAGAAATGAATTGATTGGTACATTGGAATAGACTGAGATAGATAGATAGATAGATAGATAGATAGATAGATAGATAGATATGAACAGACTGGTAGATTGGAATAGACTGAGGTAGATACACAGACAGATAGATTTGAACTGATTGTTGTAGATAGATTGATAAGTACTTTAGTGGATATAGTATGAATTGGAGTTGAGAGAGAAGAATGGTAAAAAAAGAGAGGGAAAATGTAGGTTAGATTTAAAGAACGGCGAGAAAGAAATAGATGAAAAGTGTGCGTATGTGAGAGAGAGAGAGAGAGAGAGAGAGTGGAGGAGAGAGAGGGGAAGGATTTAGGCAAGACAAAAAGAGAGATGATGAGAATGAAGGGAATACACAAATAGAGCGGGGAGTGTGAATGAGGAAGAGATAAAGAAAGGGTTGGAGGGGGCGAGGGTGAAGGACAGGGAGAGACGGAAAGAAAGAACCAGAGGAAGATATATATAGAGAGAAAGACTGAGAGATCGGGAGAGAAAAGGCGAGAAAAATTATAAAGAGAAGCAGTGAGAAAAAGTGACAATAAGCGAAAGTGTAGAGAGGAGGAGAGGGGGAGATGGAGGAACGATTAGTGGAGAAGAAGAAGAAGAAGAAGAAGAAGAAGAAGAAGAAGAAGAAGAAGAAGAAGGTGGTGGTGGTGGTGGTGGTGGTGGTGGTGGTGGTGGTGGTGGTGGTGGTGGTGGTGGTGGTGGTCGTCGTCGTCGTCGTGGTGACCAGAGAGAAAGTTTGGGCAAGAATAAAGGAGGAAAAGATAGAGAGTGGAGGAGAAAGAAAGACTGCGGGAAAGAGAGGGTGAGGGGAAGAAGTAGAGGGAAAGACTACAAGAGAGCATTACGAAGGGCGGAAATGTAAAAGATAACGAAAGAGTGAAAGTGTGAGAATAAAAGAGAGAAGGGCGAGGAGAAGTAAACTCTTTACCCATCGATCTGATACTCTCTCTCTCTCACTCTCTCTCTCTCTCTCTCTCTCTCTATCTCAATGTGTTTATTATCCATCTTTCTCTCTCTGTCTCTATCTGTCTATCTATCTATCTATCAATCTGATACTCTATCTATCTATCTATCTATCTATCTATCTATCTATCTATCTATCTATCTCACCCCCTCTCTCTCTTTCTCTATCTATCTATCTCAATGTGTTTATTATCCATCTTTCTCTCTCTGTTTCTATCTATCTATCTATCTATCTATCTATCTATCTATCTCCCCTCTCTCTTTCTCTATCTATCTATCTATCTATCTATCTATCTATCTATCTATCTATCTCAATGTGTTTATTATCTATCTATCTATCTATCTATCTATCTATCTATCTATCTATCTATCTATCTATCTGATTCTCTCCCTCGTTCTCTCTATCTATCTCAATGTGTTTTTTATCCACCTTTGTCTGTTTCTATCTATCTCTCTGATTCTCTCTCTCACTCTCACTCTCTCTCTCTCTATCTATCTATCTGATTCTCTCTCTCTATATATATATTTCAATGTATTTATTATCCATCTTTCTCTCTCTGTTTATATCTATCTATCTATCTATCTATCTATCTATCTATCTATCTATCTATCTATCTATCTATCTCACCCCCTCTCCCTCTCTCTCTATCTATCTCCATGGGTTTATTATCTATCTATCTATCTATCTATCTATCTATCTATCTGATTCTCTCTCTCACTCTCTCTCTCTCTCTCTATTTCAATGTGTTTATTATCCATCTTTCTCTCTCTGTTTCTATCTATCTATCTGATTCTCTCTATCTTACTATTTATCTATCTATCTATCTTTTTATCTCAATGTGTTTATTATCCATCTCTCTCTCTCTCTCTCTCTCTCTATCTATCTAAGCCCATTTATCTATCTCTGCGTATGTAGGTGTGGGTACGCCTTCTGTAGATCGTCTCTCATCATAGACAATAAGATCGATCCCGAACGCGACTCTTTATTTCATGATCAAAAACCGATTTATCTTCTCTCTGTAAATATCACCAACGCCCACATATTTGTCCCACCCACTTTAGTCGTTTTCCTTTCCTCTTTTCCTCCCTTCTCCTCCCTCTCTCTACTATACGTTCTTCCCTCTGTCTTGTTCACACATTCTCTCTATCCTTATTCTATTTCCGTCACCCTCCCCTTCTCACTCTTTCCTATTTCTTATGTCTCGCCTCCTTCCCCAGCCTACTTCTTCTGAAATCTTCCATCACCCTTCCCTGAAACCTGTGGGTGTGCCGATCCCTCGTTTTCGATCCAAAGGTATCTCAAGGACAAACAACATCGACTATTCCCAATCGCCATCTTTGTTTATCATTTGGTAATGGCTGACTTCAATGTCGTTTGGCAAATGGCGCTGTCAGGTGGGACGCTGCCAAATTTTCATCTCTATACCTACTTACCTAGGCACAGACAAAACATGCACAAATAATAATAATAATAATAATAATAATAATTATAATAATAATAATAATAATAATAATAATAATAAAATCAAGCAATTTGAAAACCTATCGAAGTATAAAGACCTGAAAATTGAATTGAAAACATAAATAGTGCTAGTCATAGTAGGTGCGCTTGGAATGATAAAAAAGGAACACAACATCACATTAAAAAAATCCCAGTAATTCCCAGCTTAAGAGAAATACAAAAATATATATATAAATAAATCCCACACACTAAGAAAACTTCTGTAACGTTATTGATGGTATGGGAATTATAAGAACAAATTATAAAATCTAGCGATAACAACAAACCACTAACTAGGATTAAGATTTCCCACAGGTAGAATTGGTAGACATTGTGGCCATATTACAAATTAAATAATAATAATAATAATAATTATAATAATAATAATAATAATAATAATTAGGACTTGTCACAATTCTATGGGACTACACAATACCCACTGACAGAACAATCAGGGCCAACCACCCAGATATTGTTATTAAAGACCACAAACAAAAACGGTGCCTCCTTATTGATATCGCAGTCCCTGCTGACTGCAATGTATCTTTGAAGATATTCAAGAAGTTGTCAAAATAGAAATAGAAATAGAAATCTCAAAAATGTGGCATATGGGAACATCAACAATTTCTGTTGTAGTTGGAGCCCTAGGACTGGTTGAAAAAGATTGCAGTAGACTAATTGAAGGGATTCCTGGAAGTCCATGCCTCAAGGAGATACAAAATATTGTTCTGACAATTACAGCCCACACTTTACGAAGGGCTTTATCTATGTAATTTTTTTTTGTCAGTGGAAAGTGTCATGATGTCATTTCTAACCTTAGGTCCCTGGGCGGGACTCGGAAAGAAATGTGTAAACGCCAGAAATCAAACAGAATAATAATAATAATAATAATAATAATAATAATAATAATAATAATAATAATGATTAGGTATATAGGCCGCACATAAATGCTAAAAACCGAAAAGAAAAATTATTAATTAATATGGCTTGCCTAGCATATCAAGCAAGAAATTTGAAAAATTATCGAAGTACCTTGAAATCGAAATAGAAAAAACGTGGAAAATGAAAAAAAGAATAATATCAAACATAGTAGATTCGCTTGGAATGATAAAAAAAGGAGCACAACAACATATTTAAAATAACCCTGCAAATCTCAGCTTCAGAGAAATACAAAAAGTTGTCTTGATAAGTACACTCCACATACTAAGATGAACTTTGTCCATACAACATTAGTGATGGTATGGGAGTTAGAAAAACAAATCATGAAATGTAGTCATAGCAACACACCACTTCCTGTCTTAGGTCTTCCTGCAGACTTGGTACGTACTGTGACCATAGCAAATATCGAAATATACTGGCAATAATAAAAAAAATAATAAATAAATAGATAACCAATTTTACTTAAATCTAACCAGAGTTTCAATAGTCCTGAAATTCGTTCCTCATTACTGAAAATATTGAGAATTGTGATAGTAAAAGAAAGATGGGTAACCTTGCCGAAAAAAAAAAGAAATTCTTTCAGAAAAGTCCTGATATAGTTAAGCATATTCTTTGTTTTATATATATACATGCATACACACACACACACAAAAACACACAAACACATACGCACACTCACACACACACACACACATATATATATATGAGGAGATATAGTTTTAAGGGTTGCTATATTTATGGGATAAAGTGCTCAATATCAGAGATAGAGCATATGTAAATATAAATATAAAAGGCGGCCTGACCATTGCGTCCAGCATGAAACAGCCTGTCGCCTCTGAGTGTTGACTTCAATGTTCACTTTTATATTTATAATTACACCCCTCTTTATATATATATATATATATATATATATATATATATATATATATATGTGTGTGTGTGCGTGTGTGTGTGTGTGTGTTTGTGTGTGTGTATACGAATACAAAGTTATCAGTTAATATATTTCATCTCTGATAATGGCTAAATGTATAGTCGAAAGCTCTCGGGAAAATATAATATTTGGAAAATTTTTTATCTACTGAAAAGAAAAAGTTATAAGATCACATGAGAAATTATATAAAAAACTTAATAAAAGCACCTTGTCCGTCATATTTAATGAAACATGCATGAAAGCAGGACTGCTGCCTAAATACACAATATATATTTATATATATATATATATAGATACATATAAATATATGTATGTTGATATACATACATACATACATATATATACATACATACATATATAATTATTTATTTAAAAATATGATTCCAAATCGCGACATAAGAAGTCCCATGTTTCAAAACAAGAGCCGAAAACTTCAATATAATTATTTGAATTAAATTGAGTTAAAGTAAGCTCTGTTCCATCTTCAAGCGAATTTTTTTTTGGAATAACGTGTTTCTGAAATGTACGTGTTTTAAAAATTGAAATCAAAATTTCCACGGTAACAGCCAGGGCGAATTGTTTAAGTTGGGTAGGCGTGTGTTGGGTGTTAATAATAAGTATCAGTATAGAGTTACTTTCATAGATGTCAAGTCAGGGAAAGGTGGGGGTGTCTAAATTTGAAACGGAAGATGAATTAACCCTCGTCTGGTTTGCATGTCTATGGAGACTTATTTACTTTTTTATTTTATTTTATTTTATTTTTTTTTATGAAAGGGATTTGTGCATATAAAAAACTGTCGTAACGTTTGTTTTTTGACGACTTCATAAAGGGTTATCTTTTTTTAGGGTATTTAAACTATTTATTTGGGCTATGGATTATGAAGGGTGTTATATTGTATGCATGTTTTAGTTAATTATTCAAACCATGAATCTGATGAGTGGGCTATGGATTAAACAAGTTATTATATTGTATGCTAGTTTTTAGCTAATAATTCAAACCAAAAATCTGATGATGCCTACAAAAAACCGTTCACTCGTGTCTATTGTTTAATAGATTATTATTATTTAGAAGCTTAATTATGTGCAATTTCTCATGGAGGCATAAAGGGCATGGGTCATCCCAAGTTTTACATGTTCTAGCCTTGTTTATAATTTTCCATTTAACTTTAGATGTCCTATTTGTTTCCTTCATATGCCAAAAATATTTAGATAGGGAAGTCTGATTTCTTTTGTTTATATTATTGAAAGAGCACTTATGCTGCCTCCATCTATCTTTAAAATCATTTTTCGTGGACCCAATGTATATCTTATTAGTGCTAGGGCTCTCAGTGGATGATATAGTACATTGGTATACCACAGATTTAATGCAGCATTTATTTTCTAATGGGCAGTCTTCTGGGTTTCTACAGTTACATAATTTTTTCCTTTTATTGTCTGATTTAAGTGCAGGGTTTTTATTAATACTGTTTAGGCATTTAATTTAAATAATTATATTGAAGTTTTCGGCTCTTGTTTTGAAACATGGGACTTCTTATGTCGCAATTTGGAATCATATCTTTAAATAAATAATTATATTTATGTTCTACTTTTGTATCGAGCACTATTTAAAAAAAATAATAACTAAAATACTAAGGGATTTTGGATTATTTACCTAACCAGTTTCCTATTACCTTCCTATTTTCTATATATTTTCTCATACATACATACATATATATATATAAGATAATAATATGTATATATATATGCAAATATAAGAATAATGTTATATATATATATATATATATATATATATATAGAATAAACAACAATATCATATATATATATATATATATATATATATATATATATATAGAGAGAGAGAGAGAGAGAGAGAGAGAGAGAGAGAGAATGACAACAATAGCATTTTCCCATCCGTGTAACAACAAAGGAGACTATGTTGTAACCACATTAAACACACCAATTCGTTCACTAGTTCAGTCACTAAGACTACTTTCAAAATCTATCACAACTATAACTGTAGATGAATCATCGACAATTTTCTGTCGCTGCGCATTTCAACCTACCGTTCCATAGCATTGATGATATTAGATCCTTGCTTTTAGCGTCTTCGTTCAACAGCCGACAAGAACGACGCAGTACAGTGTTGAAAAATATTTTCAAAATAAAATCACACATTCAGGGATTAAACAGGGATTTGTGTTTGCTCACACATTTTAATTTCCGCAGTGTGCCCTCTTATCAATAACAACAACATTCCACCGAAGAGTAACCGCTACTTCTTTGTTTATTCCTCGTCTCATTGGAAAAGGAGACAGAAGTGTCCGAAAATTCTGAT